TCTTCTTTCTCTCCCTCTCCTTCCCTCCCTGCCTCCCTCCCTTCTTCTCTTTCTTTTTAATAAGGAAGTTTAAGGATGCTTTTCTCAGAAGAGAGGAGTGTTGTGAGTCTTCCTGGCACTTCACAGTGTCAGTCACACCCTGATTTCCGTGTGGAATGCGCCCTATACAGAGGAGATGCATGGCTGTGAAACCCAAGGATCAGAGGGATTGAAACAGACTGTCCCCCCAGACACAGCCAGGTCGGAAGGTGACACTACAGCATGAGGACAACAGGTTTTGGACTTATGTCTGGGGACCACCCAAACACTGCCAAATACTCAGTGTAGGACACACTTCATTACTGCCCCGCACACAGACTTCTTGCGCGGTTATGCTTAGCGTGGTGATTCAAACAGAATACGTGCTCCATGTATTCTGGTTGCGCGTCTTCCACTCATACCTGCCTCGTGTTGGGAAGTGTCAGTGTAGGCCACACAGCTTGTGTGTGAGCATCAGCAGCTCCAGGCATCAGTGGTCGTTTGCCTGTAGCTTGCCCAAACCTATTTAAAACCAGATTTTCTCCAATCTTTCCCATTAAAAATAATGGCTTCTGAATGTATTCTTTTCTTTTTCTTCCCTTCTCTGAGAATTATAGCTAGTAGGTCAGAACTGGAGAGCAGGGAGTGTGTGAGTCACTGAGGCGAAGGGAGGGAGTGTCAACAGCCCAACTTTTGCAGAAAAACGGACTGGCTTCAAGGTCAGAGAAATAACCTCTATGCGTTTGCAGCAATCGTGCCTGTTTTCTGTCTAAAGCTCCATCCATTTCTCAGCCTGCACTCCAGCCTTATATTTTAGTGGATTGATTGGGTAGAATTCAACTCTGCTTGACGTTTTTGCAAACGCCTGACGCCACTTAGAATTTTGTTAAAATTTCTCCTGTGGAAAAATGTATTTCACTCGTCCTAAAACCTTATGACCATTCCGAAGATCCTATGTTAGCACATTTGGAGAACAAGTGGGTTTTCTCTTAAACCAATTTATAGCCATACCGTTTAGTTGCTGCAATGACGTTGTCAAGCCAAGGCATCAATAACACTGTGTGCACTTTTACTTCCCAATTTCTTTTTCTGTTTTCACGGTAATGGGAGCTTCGGTCTGGAAGAAATGAGAGCCCTTGGCACTGCACACCCTGTCATCTGTGCGGGTGGGGAGGAGAGAGCCTGGAGAGTCCCAGCAGAGGCCCTGGGAAGTCACATCTTTCACCCAGTAGAAAGGTCAGCAGGAAATATTTCCACAGAGTATGTGACAGAATGCTTTCCTCTATTCTATTTTTATTGGACATGAATTGCATTTATTAGTTAAGGCACATATACCTTAAAAATGAATGAACGGATGTGTATGAACCAAATTGAAAACAAAAGCTTTCAAAACACACACGCACACGCACGCACGCACACGCACGCACACGCGCACATATAAAAGCTTTCATGACAAAAGGAAACAAAATGAATGAATGAAATACTAAAGGAAAGGACTGGCGTGCTGCTGAGTGGTGAGAGTGCATCCTGTATTTTTTAGATGAAGCAAAAATAAAAGGTCAGAGTCTTCAAAGTCTCAGTCTAGTCAATCTTTCAAAATTAAAAATCAACTCCCACTTTGCTAGGTGTTTGCCACTGAAATTTAACTTCTGTGTTGGTTCTCATAAACTCAAAAATATAGAGATCAGGAATTTGATAGGAAACTGAATCCTGAAAGCATATTTAAAAAAAAAAGCAAGCAGCCTAAAATGTCAAATGACCAAGTAAAATGTTTAAATGCAACATTTTAATTCAAGCACTTATAAGTAGTAGTTGAAATGAATGGATGCATGTTGAAAAGAATGTAGCCTATTTGCTACAACATAAAGTAAAACTTTGTAACAAGATTATGAAAGTGATTTTTATTATTTTGGTAATGGTGTCCAGTTATAGGTAATTACAGATACAGAATGTTTTTAATCTGGTATATCGAACAGTAAAAAGATACATGTTAACACTGTGTCACCAAAATGTATTTCAGTTACAACTATGTATGATAGTTGCTCTGTACATGTTAAAAGCAAACATGATAAAATACAATAAGAAAAGGTTAAATAAAGTTATCGTTGAGCTATAAACATCTACTAAAGGACCACACAGTGTGTCATAGCTAAGAACATACAAATTAATATAAATGCTATGCAACTACTTGATCTAATATAGATCTAATAAGGAAATATTAAGGACATAATAGCATTTCACAGGTGAAGGCTAAGTTCTGAGACATGAAAGCTTTCAAAGAAAAATAAAAAAAAGCTTTCAGATAAACCCACAAAACAAACCTGAGACATCTTTTTGTTTGGAAAAAAGTAATCTTCTTGCAAAGTCAAAGCTTCAGTATATAAAGGAAGCATTTAAGAAACAATATACTTTAACTATCATCATAACCTGGAGTGAATATTCTGACTACAATAGTGACCAGCAAATACATTCTTTCTCTGGAAGAAATAAAATAAGGTTTTCTGATTAAACCAGTAGCTGGATTATTGTAGCCTCCAAGTTTGGTTATTTGTATTTGTCTGTTTTGGGTTTTGCTTTTCTTTCTTTAACTAGATTATAAAATATAGAATAACCTAGTTGTATTTAAATAAGCCAGGTAGCCTCCAAGAGCCCACCTCACTTCCTATATAAGCACAGCTTTTCCATTGCCAGAAGTCCCAGATGAACTAAGCCTACATCCGTACAGATTCTAGCACATCTGGACTTGGTTGACTTAATGAGGCATCCAGATTGGTACATGATTACTCTTGGTACCACACATGTCTCAGAGTAAGTGGGCTAGGGCAGCCTAATTCCTGTCTCGGCCCTGCTTAGGGGTGGAGGGTAATCACGTTTTCGAATAGCTGGTGACAAAAAAATTTAAATGTACTGAGTAAGCCCGATTTCTACAGTTGGCTTTAGTGCCTTTAAAAATACTGGCACAGTTCTACATACTCAAGAGGTAGAGCTATGAGATCCTATTGATTAAAATTATACGAAATGTTTATTAATAAAAGAATTCCAAATTACAAAATAGATCTTCTGTGTTGTAGATTTTTTTTAAGTCTACTTAGGATTTAACGTTGGCCCACGAAACATTTTTCTAAATGTTCATATTTCAAATTTTGTGCTTCAGATGAATTAACTTGGAATGAGTGGGGAAAAGCTTAACCATATTTCCTCCTTTTCCTCTCTTTTTTTCTCACCACCCCTACGCACAGCCGTCACTCTTCCCTTTGTAGTTTTGATTAAAAGATTCCAAAAAGCTTAACAGAATGTAAGAAGCAGTAAGCTTTCAGGACATGGTATACCTTCCTCTGCAAGTTCACATGCAATGAAGTTAAAGCTCCAACCTTTACTTTGAACTTTCGCCATCTTCTATAATGCATTTTTTTTTTTTTTTTTTTTTTTTTTAAGGTTTTCAGGCTCTTTACATAAATGGAACATACGTATTTCATTCAGGCTTCATGTTTTCACAGTTACCAAAGTGACTGCTCACCAGGCCGGCCATCCTGAACAGCACGCCCGATCTGATGGGCTCCAATGGAACATGATGCAAACTTCCAAACAGCCTTCTAACACTACCTTCTGATTCTGACTTTCCAAAACACAGACATAAACACTATTTTTAAAAAATCATTTAAGAAACTAGGCCTATTATGATGGGAATCTCCCCACTGGTTCTCTAATAAGGAGAACACTTAGATAATTCATTGCATTTTTCCCTACTCATCAGGCAGACACAGGTTAAATTTCTCTGCCTTGCCCAGGCTAATGGTTAGATTTCCAGTAACTTCAACTGGAACTCAACAATCAGAATGGCTTTAAAATCTAATTAAAATTTAAGCATGCCAAGAGTTTGGAATTATAACATATTAACTTCATTTCACAAGAAGATTCTAGATTATGAATATAATTTTAGAAAATATCTTGTAAAGTAATAAGGAACACATCTTAGAGATCCAATTTTGAGACTTTTTAGTTCTCATTCAAGTTGCAGATGAGAGAATGGACTTTGCTTTACCTTGGTTTCCATCATGTTAAAATAGGCTCATTTCACATATTTGAGCCCAAATTGGTTGAATTATACTTTTTCATTTGTCTTTCTTTTGGAAAGATGTACATTATTCAAACTTTTCTTAACCAAAACAGCTAATACTATTTAATAATCTACTAACTAATACATATTGCTTATGATAATTATATATATAAATATATTGACTAGTATTTGGTGACTTTTTTAACCTATGAAACTTCCTGAAATCAGTGCATTATAATCATATACTATAAAGCTTAGCTGGGCCGGTAAATCTTTTTTTTTTCCTCATCATTGAAATTCTGTACTTTGGCAACAACAGAGGTATGACTTCGGCTTAGAATTTTTTTACAATTTAACAACTTACACTTTAAAATTCCTGATAAATCATTGACGCCTACTATAATCACTGAATCAACCACACTATTAATTTCTTTATAAGCAAATGACTTTATGATTTATGCAAAAAAAGAGAAAGCATATCACTAGGCAAAAAGACAAATCCATCCATGTAGATACTACAGCCTCCCTAAACTATTTTTTATTGAAGAGGTGAGAAAGGACTTTCTGGTCTTTACCCTTTTCCCTTATCACCCTCAATCCCATGTCTTACACTGAAATTATTTGCCTTTGCATATTCAACAATATATTCTGAAACTTTGCTTACTACGATTTTCCTACGGAGCAGATTTCAGCAACGGAACATCCATCTCGGACCCCACCCATGGAGGCATGGTCACTGAAACTCTTCTTCATTCGCTCATTTGCATGTGCACACATGTGGGTTTCAACTCCCAAGGATGCTCCCTCCAAGATACTATTTCCAGCACTCATCGCTGTGTAAAAATTCTTTGGACCCTTTAATTCTTTGGCTCCAAAACCCTTCCAGGAGCTCCTTCATAGCCCAGCGCTCCTCTGAGCACATGTGTGAAGCACATCGTCTGTCGGTCAGTCGGTTTATGCTCACTCTAGAGGCTAACTGAGACAGTGGCACAAGGCGTTAGCAAAGTCCACTCCCCATCCCCCCCCACTTGAGTACTTCTAAAATTCGAGCTCGCTTCTTTGTGGCTTCTCACTGGCAGTCCTCCTCGGCTTGAAACTTTTGGACAGCACTATCGAGGAGCTCCATGGACTCTCTGAGAGTGACGTTGATTCGAAATGACTTGGGTTTAATGGTCAGACCGTAATTAAAATCCATCTTCGAGGGTTCATCTGGATTGGCCTTGAAATTGCACTCATGAGCCAGGATGGAAATGAAGAGAAACAGCTGCATCTTGGAAAGCTCTTCCCCAATGCACCGCCGTTTGCCCACGGAAAAAATCATCACACTGCTGGCCAGGTCCTTGTCGATGAAGCCATCTTTGTCCAAGAACCGGCCCGGATCAAAGTCCTCTGGATTAGACCACTTCGCTGGGTCATGATTCACAGACCACTGGTTAACAAAAACCACCGTGTCCTTGGGAATGTGGTAGCCCAAGACAGAGGCGCTGGTGGTGGTGGCGTGAGGAATGGTGACGGGCACGAAGCTGGAGAAGCGCATGGCTTCATAAAGAAAGGCCATGACGTAGGGCAGGTTGGGCTGGTCATCCAGGCATGGTAGCCGGTCTCTACCCACGACTTGATCCAGTTCGGCCTGGACCCGAGCCTGCACTTCAGGATACCTGTTGAGTTGTTAACACAGAAGGAGAAAATAAGTGAGGAAAACGAATCCTTCTTTCGTCTAGAAAGCACATGACCATTTATTTTAATTCCACCTTCTTTATCTGAATCAGTGGCTGAATTAACACTGCCAGCCCCCCAAAAAAGAAAAGAATCCCAAACAGCTTCCTAATTTCTCACTAAATTACAGGATGGATAAACTAATAGTTATATTTCCTGTAATAAGCCTTACCTGGCTAATGTTCTCTTTCCTATCCTAAGTCGAAAATAGTCTTAAGTTTTCTAGCCTGAAAAAGCTCCTAACGGACAAAGCCAACTTCTCCATGAGGCACAAGGACCCACAAAACTTTCCAAGGGCCCATGGAAATGTTTTCATTTCATTCAAAATCAAAACAAAAAAGAAGAAGAAGAAGAAGAAGAAGAAGAAGAAAAAGAACTATTAGGTCAAAGAAAATGTTTTAATATCTAATTTTAATATCTTTATCTTTATTCCAATTAGTAATAAATGTCATTAAAAGTCTCTTATGGGGTAACCTGTCTACAGAGGCAAGAGCACCCAGGGCCCACAAAGGTAAAAAAGCAGCCCCAAAAGCGGATCCTTTTTTCCTCTCATCTCTCAGGATAATTCTAGCACATACACTGCTCTCACTTCACACAAATTGGTGTTCTGATAGATAAAGTTACACATCTTCTAAACTTAAAAGGAAATTCCCAATATTCGAGAGACGATGGTACAAGCTGTAATGGTTATTCACTCTTGGCAATACAAAAGTACTGTCCTTTTGGAAAACAAAATCTGAGTACAAAGCAAGATGCAGAAGGGTAACTCCTCCCCACTCTTTTTAAACCCAGTCATCCATGCCTAGAAATGTATGTGCAGGAAACAACAGGTACAAAAATATGTAACTACAAAAATAGCTGAAATTTTAAAAATGCAATCAACACTATTAAAAGAAGTGATCAAAAATAATGGGGATATTATGACAAAAATAATAGGGAGCCATCAAAAATCACCAAAATAAAGTTTAAAAGACAGGGAAATGTCCATTACAATAAGTGAAAATGTCAGAAGTTAAAAAAAAAGTAAAAAATTATTGCATCTCTGAAAAAAACTTAAGCATGTATGGTATGAAATTATGGGTGATTTTAAAAACTGCTTCATGAACATCATACTTCAGGGGTCTGCAAACTTTTTCATGAAAGGCCAGATAGTAAATATTTTAGGCTTTGCTGACCAAACCCCCTGTCACAACTATTCAGCTCTGCCTTGTGCTAGGAAGGCAGCCACAGACAATACATAAATGAATGGGCATGGTAGTATTTTGCTAAGAAACTTACATACAAAAATGGGTAGTGTAATTTGCCAACCTCTGTCATACTGTCTTTTCACTAAAAAGAAGAAAAACATATTCACCAGCTATATTGAATCGAAAGTGACTCCAAAATTGTTTACTTTTGCTGCCCAATTGAGTTTCTGATTTAAAAAAGGGGGGGGCGTTTCAAAAGATGATATGCTTCTGGTGGGATGCAAAGGACCTATTGATCTCATTTTGGGATGTCTTTTCACGATTATTGACTTCTTTGTATTTGATTTCTGCTCATTGCCCATATGTGTTTCTGTGCTCTTAATACTGAAAACAATGTTAAATATACAAAAAATTCCATTGATAAAAGTATTTGCACAGGATCTAAGGACATAGAGGTTGCAGGATTCTAATAAGAAAAGAAGCAGTCTTTGCCTTCCAATGTCTGGATTGCCAGCAAATTCAGCATCCCCCGCCGCTTCCTTCTGCGCCAAGAAATGGTACAACCAGGGCTTCAGGTCTCTCAAGGCAACCAAGATGTGCCTTGAAGGAGCCACCTGCCCCTGGAGCAGGGTTCCCAGACAAAAACAGGCTGCTCTGTTATATCTAAATTTCAGATAAACGATGGTTAATCGTTCAGCAAAAGCATGTCCTGTGTGAATTTTCTTTTCTATTTTCTAAGTCTGGCAACACCCTATACCAGCAACCCGTTTGCGTCCTGCGTGTAGAGCTTCCCAGAGGTCTGCGACCATAATCCAGGTGGGCACTGCCGACCAGTTTGCCAACCGAGCCGGGCCCGGGGACCAGAAAAGTCCGTCCGCAGGCGCCCCCTTGATACCCTGTTTGCCTTTCGAGGCGCCGCTCTGCGCTCGGTAAAAGTGACTGCTTCTGCGGTTTTGTTTTGTTTTGTTTTGTTTTTACCCGGACGCTTCTAACACCACTAGCGCGGCGGTTTCATAAACCCAGCACAACCTGCTAATTTCTGGCCGCCTTCCTAAAGCTTCCGTGCCGGGTAAGCGCGGGCGGGGCCGGCCTCCGAGCGCTCCCTCTGCCCGGAAACAGAGCCCGGACGCGCGGCTGGCTGGCAACGCTGGGGCTAGGCGGCCTCTGATCGGCGCCCGGGACTGGCCGAGCCGATTCGCTGCTGTGTTCATTGAACATATTGCCCGTTACCCTTTCTTTCGGAACCGTGCCAATTTTGCTTCTGCTGTGCCAAGGAGGCAGAGATCGGGGCTGATCTGCGGACACTTAGAAGATCTTGCCTTTCAGGGGGGTCTCACAAATTTGTCCCCAGTTGGAGAGGTAGAGAGCGACAAGATCAAAGATGCGGGCGGTCGGGGCCCTAATGGGTAAGGTGCGCGCGCTGGCTCGGCAGGCACTCTGCCTTCCTTCCCGAGCCGCGCTTCCGCGCCGCGATCTCAGCTTCGAGAGGTGCAGAACCTTCGAGAGGTTCTGGCGCAGAACCCCAAACCCTGGGCGTTCGTCGCGACCTCAGCATATCCTAGTCCCCCACTCCACCTTTTACAGGGGAGGGAAGGAAGGCCCGGCCCACGCCTGCTGGAGGCTTTACCTGGTGAAAAGGATGAGCAGCCACTGCAGCGCGGTGGAGAGCGTGTCCTGGCTGGCGCCGAAGATGTCGGTGACAGTGGCCGGCACATACTCCAGGTCCAGCCGCGCGCCGCCGTCCTCCGAGCCCTCCGCCGCCTCGGTTCCCGCGGAGATGATGAAGGCGTCCATCATGTCGCGCGGGCCGGCCCCGGGCTTCAGGCTTTCGCGGTGCTTCAGGAACTTGTCGAGGACGAAGTTGCTGAAGTTGCGGTTGAGCTGCTCGAACTCGCGGAAGGCGGTGCGCACGGGGTTGGGGAAGCGCTGCAGCCAGGGCAGCACGTCCACCAAGCTGCCCGCGCCCACCGTGCGCCCGAACTTCTGGTTGTGGCTGAGCAGCTCGCGGAACTCGGCGTCGTCGTGGCTGTAGCGGCAACCGAAGCACACGGCGCTCATGACGTTCGCCACGGCCACCACGGTCAGGGGCCGCGGGTCCACGAAGGCGCCGCCCGCGCTGCCGCGCACCAGCAGCGCCACCAGCTCCCTCGCCTCGCCCAGCACGTGGCCCTCGAGGACGCGCCGGCTGCGCGGCTGGCGCGTGGAGAAGGCCCGCATGGTGCTGTGCGCTGCGCGCCGCTGCACCTTCCAGCTCTGGGAGTACGGGCCGAAAGCCAGGCTGCGGCCGCCGGACACCAGGCGGAAAGAAGCGAAGCGCGGCCGGTCGGCGAAGGCGGCGCCCTGCTGCACCAGCGCCTGGCGGATGGCGCGCTCGCCGTTCAGCACCACCACCCGGCAGTTGCCCAGGCGGATCTGGAAGACGTCGCCGTAGCGCCGCGCCAGGCGCGCGAACGAGAGGTGCGGCGCCGGACCCATCGCCGCCGCGTTTCCGATCAGCGGCCACGCAAACGGGCCCGGCAGCGCGGACCCCGGCTGCCGCCGCCGCTGCCGCAGCAGCCACTGGCCCACGTGCACGGCGGCCAGCACCGAAAGGAGCAGCAGGAGCGTGGTCTGCTGGGACGGCAGCGCACTCGGCTGCAGGGGAGCGTCGGCACCGAGGGTGGTGGCCATGCTGGAGAGAGAAACGCGGAGGCGTGACGCTCAGGTGTGCAGAGAAAGGAGCGGGCGCCCCACGCCCCCACCCCTGGCGTCCGGCTACGGTGCGCTGTTGGGAAGGGAGGAGGTCGCGCGTAGGTCAGGGCGGGCTCACTGGGGAAGCAGCAGAGGACGCTTCTTCCCGTCCCAAACCCATTCCTCTAAGGAGAAGGGAAAGCGCGCGTTTCCACCTCTCTGTGCCCCGGACTCTCCGTCCCCACCTCAACCCCCACCTGCGTAACGGTTCCAGCAATTCCGGGACAACCCGGAGGGCATCAAGACGGAGGCGCTCAGTTCCCTCTCAGTGCCTACCACCCCGGCCCGGCAAGGCCGCGGGAAGGCGGCTCCGCGGATAGACTGACCTGCGAGGTGGCGCGGTTTCCAGCGGCGCGGGATGGACGGCTCCGAAATCGGGCCGGGGCCTCTGTGGAGAGCAAGACGTCTCCAGGAAATCGGAGACCTCGCCTGGACACCTGCTGCTCTGGGAGCTTGAGCACCCACTCTGGGGCCTCTAGACGTCGTCCGAGCTAGGGGCGCTGGGATTGGGCTGGGGGCCGAGAAAGGTGCCTCCTTTGCCGAACCCCTCTATACCTGGGGCCTCGGCAAAGCGGGGGTTTTCTCACAGAGTGCGGACTGAGACTGGGGGTCAACGAGTGCAGCCAATTCCCAGCCCTCAGGAACCCCGCGCGTCTCTGACAGCTGGTGTCGCCGAGGCGTGGCCCGTTTGCACACAGTCACGCTGGAGTCAAAACGCGCCATCCCGCCTGGCTTTTAAGTTCTCTCGGGGGAGAGGGGGGAGGAGACGGAGGAACCTGGCGGGGCGGGGCTTGCGGGGGGCGGGGCGCCGGCTCGCTTCCAGCCGCACAGACCCCGACCCCGGTCACTGGGCTCCCGCTGTCACGCTAAATGGCCGCGATTCTCCCGACGGCCTGGGCTAGGTGGCTGGCGGCTTTGCTAGAAGCTGCGGTGTGAACTTCCCGTTTGCCGGAAAACCACTCTTAATCAGTCGCTCCCCATCGAAGCCGCAGCTTCCCGGAAGCGCGCTGGGAACAGAACCTGCGGGTCCCGCGGCGTTCTCCGTGGGAGCAAGGCCCCCGCCCGGAGCGCACGACCCCCCTTCCCCCTCGGTGACTGAGCTCCGTTCCCTGAGACAAACCCGCTCGGGCTCGTTGGGCGCGCGGGCCGAGAGAGGGAACCTGTTGGTTTGGGAACGCGGAATGCCGGGTGGTGGCGGCGCTTGCCTTTTACAGCATCCCTAGTTGTTTTATTTTATTGGAACTTTCTTGCAAACAAATGAGGCTCTTTGCCGCGCAAAGTTCTGCTTCCCCCTCGCGCAGCGAGATCAAGAATCCCCGTAAGACGCCGCTCCCAGACCCAGGGCCCCGGCGGCGCTTGGCACACAAAGGCCGGCGCTGACCGGGCGCAGCTGGTCGCGAGGTTTCCCGCTTCGCAGCCCCCCAGGTGGCGCCGCCCACTGCCCCGCGCGGGGTCGCGCTGGCCGCGTCCGGGACCCTCGGCGGCACAGAGCCGGGAGCCAAGCTGGGGCGAACTCGCTGCGAGGAGCGGAGGGACCGCGCTCTGATGATCCCGGAGGGAGGGACGAGGGGGAGGAGGAGCAGGAGGCCGTTCTCCTTGCGCCTACCAATTTTATCGGGTTGAAGTTTCCTCTGCTGTCCCTCCCCCTTGCGTGCCGAGCAGGGCTTTGCGTGCGCGGCTTCTGGAAAGTCTTGGGCTCTGGTCATATCCTTGGGCGCTTCTCACGGCACCTGCCACGCCGAGGCGGCGGGGGCGGGGGCGGGGACCGCGGCCCAGGGCAGCATGCCGGCCGCCACCACCCACCGCGGCGCACGCACGGCCGCATCCCGGCTGGCCAGCGAGGCGGACGCCCTGACCACCCTATCAGGGGGCGGATCTGGGCGCTGTGAACTCGAGATGGGGACGCTTCCTTCGAAGAGGGGAAGCCGGAGGTGCTCGCGCCCCGGTAGCTTCCCCGGCCGGCTGCGCCCTTCCGTACAGGCTGGTACAAAGCATTTGCAAGCCCCTGGGGAGCAAAGGCCTTCTCCGCAAGGCTGGAGAAAGGGCGAGACCGGGGAAGGGTGGGATGTATGGTAGTTGCCCAGGCTGGAATTGTACCTCCGGGCCTCTGGGATCCTCAAGCGTCAATATAAAAGTTGGGCGTTTACCACGTGACAACTCTGCGCTTTGAGTATTACCCATGCTGGAGATCTCTATTGTTCTATTGCTTCTCAGTTTACAGATGTGAAAACTGGTGTTCGGAGAGGTTATGTGACTTAACCAAGATCACACACACTGCAATAATACAATTACAGTCATACAGTATAATCTTGGGGCGCCTGGGTGGCTCAGTCTGTTGAGCCTCATACTCTTGATTTCGGCTGAGGTCATGATCTGCGGCTTGTGAGACTGAGCCCCATGTCCACTCCCCGCTGGGCGTGGAGCCTGCTTAAAATTCTCTCCCTCTCCCTCTGCCCCTCCACCCCTCTTTCTCCCTCTCTAAAATGTAAAAATTAGAAAAAAAAATACAATATAATCTTAAATGGTTTCTCTTTTCAAGGAAGTGATTGAAATGCTTGATGGTTTTCTTCCCCTTCCCACTTCTTACCAGCTATCAAGAGGTGAAGTCAGAATTTGAACCCCTTGAGTCCCATTCCAGATCCATCGTACCCGTTTGTGTGGAAGGAAATCCTCAGATGAAAAAAGCACAAACGCTATCTCTCCTGCCTGCCTTTTAAAAAAGGGGGCGGGGTGCCTGGGTGGCTCAGTTGGTTAAGCGACTGCCTTCGGCTCAGGTCATGATCCTGGAGTCCCAGGATCGAGTCCCACATCGGGCTCCCTGCTCAGCAGGGAGTCTGCCTCTCCCTCTGACCCTCTTCCCTCTCGTGCTCTCTATCTCTCATTCTCTCTCTCTCAAATAAATAAATAAAATCTTAAAAAAAAATTCAGCTGGAAGAAGTTTTTTAAATAGTTGTTTTTGTTTACAGAAGTGAGTACTCTGAGGATCACAAAGAAGAAATAGTGTGGTCACCTTTTGCAATAAAATTGGATGAGGGAGGCCTGTGGACTATGCCTCATAACTGACCTGGAAATAAGTGGTTAAATTTTAAAGAAGCCTAAAGAGGTGTCTGAAAAGAGACACCTTCAGTGAGAGACTGAAACCAACAATAAAACATCTGACCCGATAAGAAAATGCTTTTTGTAAAAGTCTCCATTCAGCAGTTTTTGAGAGGTTCTCTGAAAATGATTTCATACACTGTAATGGAGCACTCGGATCCATGATGAAATTATTTTTGAGCAACTGGGTAAATAAGCATTGGTTTCCCAGAGCTGTGTTGGCCTACAAATCCTTTGAAATGAGTTTCATAACCTTACAATGTCCAGCTTTAACAAGACCCTTGCCTAATAATTCAGTTCAAGATGGCTGCATGCATCAGTCTCTCAGTAGGCATTAATTTAATAGACGGGAATTGTCTGTGGGCTTATGCCAATTCTGAGCCATCAAACGTTCCTGAAAGCCTCTATCCCAGCATCCCTACCAGAAACAGAGCAAATAGGGGTTGCCTTTAAATCAAGTACATTACTGTTTTCAAAAGTATAACCCAAGGCTGTTCCTAAGTCCTCTTGTTAATAATTCCTGAATAATGCTGTATAATTTTTAGATAAACTAGATGCATGCCCTCTTGCAATAGATAATAATTTAAGCATATCCTCCAAGCTATGGTGCCTTGGGCTCAGCTCTTGTTCTAGGACATGCTCTAAAAAGCAGAGTAACCAGTTGGGTCCATGCTGTCAAAAAGGCAAGTCCTTATCGATTATGACAAACCCAAGTGATCGGCTATGATAACAGCTTCTTCAGAATTTGCAGGTCTCAGATTCTCTCAGACTTTGTGGTGGAGGATCCATCCGGTACTGGACAGAGACGTAGGGTAAATCCTAGGTGGCCCGTGGGGACCCCCGACTCAGCTCAAGGCAGGGCCCTCTCTCTAGTGAGAATCTACACCAGGCTCTTTAGTTATCAACACAACTTCTCAACCAAAGCCAGTAGTATTTAAGGTCCTGGGATCTCCTTTCAGTCAACAGCACAGGATATGGGAATTTCGCCCTCCTAGATCCCAAACTTGAATTATGTGATGCAAATAACTTTCAAAAGAACAGCTAAGCTAGAGAGAGAGTTTAAAGTGGAGGTTTAAAACACCTTATATTCTACTGATTCCAAAGAACAGAAATCGAGCATAAGCTTGTTTAAGCAGACCAGGAATGCACTGGCTCATGTGCAGAGAAGGATAACTGTGGTATCTTACAGGATGGAAGGATCTGGGGCTGCTCTCCCCGATCTCTGTTAATGCTGGTCTCTGCTTGGGCTTTGTTCTGGAGACTCTCCTTATGTGCTGGGAAAGCTGGCCAGAGAAAGCCCCAAATGAACCACCCCAAGAAAAAGAGAGTGTCTCTCTTCCAAGGTCATTATACAAGACCCCGGAAGGACTTTGACACGCCAGGCCAGCATCAGGCCACCCTGTGCCAACGGTCTAGGTCTGATATCAGGAAAAGAGGGATGTGGGAAGAGAGAACTTTTGTCCGTCACTCCCTTTTGGGTTGAAGAATACCCCAAACCTATTATCCTTATCGTCATTTTGGTTTTTTAAAAATATTTTATTTATTTATTTGGATTCGGGGGGGAGGGCGGAGGGGTAGGGAGAGGGACAAGCAGACTCTGCACTTAGCGTGGAGCCCAACACAGGGCTCCATCTCACAATCCTGAGATCATGACCTGAGCCGAAATCAAGAGTCAGATGCTTAATGGACTGAGCCACCCAGCCTCCCCCTTCATCGTCATTTTAAATCAGCAAATCAGATAGATGCGTTACACCTGGAGCTAATAGCCAGGAAAGTCAGCCCTTATGTCATCAGGCTAGAAGTCGGTTTTCTTGATGGGCTTTCCCTCTAGCATAATCCTCCAGCATAATGTCAATTTTGCGGCTGCACACCATGCTCTTCCACCCTCTCCAAACACACATATGCACATGCACTGAGCGGAGAGAGGAGTAGAAGCAACAGTCTCTCGCAAGTCTTCGACATATGGGATGCACAAGCATCCGTCATCAGATCCATGCTAGCAGGCAGAGAAATAGCAATCAGCGGATATAGCAAGTGTCCCAGGCGATTGAGAGTATGGCAGAGAGAGGAGTAGTAGGAAGCTACAGACCATGTGCTGGGAATTGAGAGGATTCTTAGCAGGTAACACCAAAACCCTGTGCCCTACCTGACTTGCTTCTGCTTCCTTCCTCCTGGTACCATACGGGCTAAGAAGCACAGAGCTAACAAATCTTTCTTATTTCATCTAATAAGAAGTTATCATTTGTAGATGCACTGTTGTTTTATGCATTAATGTAAACACAGGGGGCTGCCATTTCTAATTATGCCACCGATTATTAAGACATAGTCTAATTTCCCAGAGGTTAAAAACATTTTCAGTGTGTTTTAGAATCAACAAAGCACCGTGGGCGCTGGCGGTGATCCTCTGGGTTCTCTGCCTTTGTATTCAGTAGTAGTGGTCCTGAGAGCTCTTAGATGAGGACGTTGGAGCCAGGAGTGTTACCTACCAAAGCCATAACCCCTTCCATTTTTTTTTTTTTTTTTTACTTGATGTGAACAATTGATGTTTTTTCAATTCCATGTAAAGCGTAGGGAACAGCTTTGCTTTGGAAGATTTTGCTA